CAAAAGTTCTGTACAATGTTAAATTGCGCTTTCAACAATTTCTGGTCTTTTTTTTTTCACTTGTGGTGACACAAAGTATTTTTTTTCATATAAGAAACCCCTTTTTTAATATAAATTATTTAGTAAATAATGTATATAAAAACTTTGATTACCTAATTAAAAATTCAGAATAAAAATTTCTTGAATATTAAAATATTTATATCAAGAATAAAAGTCTTTAAAAAATATTTCCAAATAAAAAAAAAAAATAAATAAGTTATACTGGATTACTCGTAAGTATTCATTATACTTGATCCATGTTTAAATTACCATATATTTATAATTACCCATAGCCTCGATTTCTGCTGAACCCATTATCCCTAATAAATAACAAATTAAATAACTTAAAAACTACTTGTTTGAATTTTAATACATCAACATTTTATAAAAACTATCCATTAAATTATTTCGCTGTGTTTGGCAATCATGAAAAAACGAAAGGATATACATAATACTTCTTAAGTAATGAAAACAATCTCAAGAAATGAAATATACAATAATGGCATATTTAAGAAGTCATTGCACTAAAATAGCATAGTTAGTGAATGATCTTGTATATTAAAAAAAAAAAATATATATATATATATATATATTTAATAATTAGTATTATTATATTATGTAATATTTTCATGTAATTTTAACTACATTTTTTTTTTTTTTTTGGAAATTTTTATTTATTTTAATTGGATATCATTTTAATTTCGAAAAATTTTAGTGTAATAATTCTGAATAGTAATAATAAATAATTAATACATTTTCTTGTTTCAATTTAATTACATTTTATATTGCATTATGTTTTTTTTTTTTTTTTAATAATTATTATTTAAATAAAGTAATAAGTTATCGGTATGCATCAAAAATTTTAGGTGCCAAGCACCTGTGTTTTCATAATATAAATTATGTGGTATTAATCTTTCTTGAAGTATAAGTTAATCAACTGTTTTATAAAACCTAGAATATAGCTGAATTGAGTAGATAATCAAGACATTTTAAGAATATTACTATTTCATTGTATTCCAAGGTTTTTTTTTAATTATTAATATTTATCTAGTTATTTAATAAGACATTAGTTACATTAATATTTTAATGCTAAAATGTAATTTATCTAAAAGTTTTGTATTAAAATAGTGCATTATTTGAATCAAACCAATCATAATATTTTTATTATTAAACATACTTAACTTTAGTATGGTGTATGAATAAATGTATGATTAAAAGATAAATATTAACTATTTTTTTTTTGCGTAGCCTCGCATCTTGTGTAGAACTTACCTGTAAATTTAGTTAAAAGTTATATATAATATTATATCACGCACTACTCATTTACAATTTTTAGTTTTTGTTTATTTAATAAAGATCGGATAAAGCGCTAATCAGTGATGAACAAATATTTGATGACACTTAAGTAAACGTATTAAGATAGCAAACAGCTTAGATATTTTATTTTCTTTGGCAATTTTTCTTTTCATATAAATATATAACTATATATATTGTCAGTATACTCATATATTTTTAATATGAATATTTTATTATCTTTTTGCAATTCATTACAATTTTTTTTTAAATTTTGTTATGTTAAAAATTATTCATTTTTGGTAATAAATATCATAATCTAATATATATATTTACTCAACACAAATAATTCTTATTCAATGTTCTTGCACAACGAACTACTGTTTAACAAACAGTTAGACTTACATAAACATCATTGAATATAAATACATAATATCTGTTGTTCAATAACTACCCCGTAACCTTAAAATGTATATCTCCTCAAAGTTTGTTTACCATTCAATTGATGCCACAGCACGTGAAACGTATGCACGAGTACATATTTTTAGACTACCCGACATATAGTGATTTTCGGTAAATAATAAAATAAATGAAAAGGCACGTACTGCAAAGCCAATAGTTCCATTCATTATCAAGATCTAAAAAAAAAAAAATTAAAAAAAAAAATGGACGACTTTGCACTCTCGAAAAATATATTTTTTGTATGCTGCTTTGACAATCGTGCTCTATAGTGTATTTTATATGTATATAATATATATATATTTAATATTCAATACTGAACCAAACCAAACAAGGCACCCATGCTGCATTCCATGTGAAATCATAGGGGAAAACAAATCTATACGGTAAATATCACGTCTTTGATATTGACGAATGCGTTTTGTTTATTGTATTGAATTTCCAACACTAGTTGGTATTTTGATATCGTCAAATGTTTACGATAACGTAATTTTCCACGTTTTGTGTCAACACGTGAATGCAATCTCGATTTCTATATCATTACATTTCTGTGGAGATTTTATGCGACATGCTATATTATTATTATTATTATGGTACATGTTTTTCGGTTGTCATGAGACGTCCACCGACTAAACGCTACAAAAAAAAAAAAATGTCCTATAAAACGCTGAAACAGCACATTATTATAATAGGTACTTTAAGTGTATGATGCGTTCAAACGCCGACGTCCTACATCGACTGAATGTACCCAGCAACGACCGCAAGTAGGTGATAAGGATGATTTCATACACCTCATTGTTATACAGACGACCTATCCTCAACGTCGTCAATAATAATATTAACATAAGATCATAATGATTTCGTCGGGATACTTACCTTGATCTTTAGACAGAACGGAGAGCAAAAAATGATTGCTCAAATAAGCATAATTTTAAGTAAATATTATTTGTACGCCCAAGTACCGTTAAATACCAATATTGAATGTAGGCACACATAGGTAGCTTGCCGATTTCCCAACGTCCTTGAGATAACACAACAATTATTATATTTCGCTGTCGTGTAATGTGTTTAACGTTGAATTTGAAATATTACAATAATATTAGATACGATTTATCGAATGTAAAGTTGTTTGAATATTGCTATTGTACATAGGTTTCTATCTGTTATTATTAATGTATGCTGTGTTTCTTTGACGTCATACATTCAATTATTGCAGAACATACTTTTTACTAGGTGTTACTACCATTATAATTCATAAAGATTAGCTCAAATACTTACTTCTGGTATCATGGGCGTAACTATAATTTCAATCGGGGGGGGGGGGGGGGGGGGTTAATAACTTTTTTTTTTGCTTTTTCGATTTTATAGTAAAACTTATACTTTGTATCTAATGACTTTTTTTTATTTTTCTCTCTCCATAATTTTATAGTAAAATGTACACCTCACCCTCGTCGGGTATTTTTTATGTTTTCTACTTGTGATGGAGTACGAGGCACATTCATTAACCACTAGATAGCACTATTTTTTTTACTAGGTGGTATTTGTGCTACCTACTTTATATGTTAAAATATGCTCTAAACTATTGTACAGCGATAACTTTATTCTTAAATTAATACTGCTTATATATTATTTAAACACGTCATTGAAATATTTACTAAATATTTTTTCGTATACCACATAATCAGTGCCATTGAATATAATAAAATTAATATTATATAAATTATATTCCACCAACGTTTCATACTTACCTAATTATTTTACAGCTTTTGCATTCATAATTTTTGTAAGAATCAGCGCCTTGTTTTTTTTATACATAATTTAAATTTAACAACAAATATGAAACTTTTATTCATGATTTATAAAATATTATTATGAATATAAAATGAATTACCTGTGTAGCGTACTATATACATATATATATATATATATATATATATATATATATATATATATAGCCAATATGTTTATTCTATAGTTTTAATTGGTATTTTCCTCACTGACATAATTTATTCCTCGTTGATTTCTTTTCAAAACAATAAATGGTTTCTGTGCAATGTACTTCTATATAAGATCTTCAATTTCTCTGTTCAGTACACAAGAAACAGAATAGAATCCTTTCGTGCGACTTATTAATAATACAAATTTATGCAATCAAAATTATACACATAAATTAAATATTAAACATATTCAATTTATTTTTTATACACAGACCTTAAACCAATTATCTTCTGAGATATTAAAATTTAATGAAACTTTATAAATATTACCTATCTATACAAATAAAATTATAATATTATATGCGTTTAATCATTTACGTATGGTTAGTAAAAACTTTTGCACATTAACAAGTAAAACACTTTATTATTAAATGATATATAATAAAGTACTGAAGTGTATTTAATGTATTTAATAAAATTGGAATAGAAATTAGAAGTATTAGAAATTAAATCTTTATTGACTACATAATATATTATATATTATTGGAAACTGTAAAACATATTAATAGTAATATTCAAAGTAATAATACATGGTGTATCTTATTTTAACTAATATAATCATGATCGGTTCGTTTTTCTATATTTTCCATGTTACGATGTATACGTATGTTTATTGTTTAGTAATGCTGAACTGGTCATTCTTAGTACAGATATTAGAAAACTTTTCATTGTACAAAGAATCGTGCAACGAATAAGTAATAAAGGTAATGACGAAATTTATCAAAAGCTAACTATATACATCGATGAGTATCATCTGTGTAAATCAGAAATTACCGTGTTCTTGACAGTATTAATAATACATAAAAAAAAGTGCCCTGGTGAATAAACTTTCCTCTTATACCCACCCCCTTTCTACCAGTAACTCGAATACACCACTAAGTACCCTGATGATGAACGCACCGGTCCCTGCTATTATGATAATAAAGTATTCGTCATCGTGATATTCAAAATCGTAATATTACGTTGTGGCTGTTGAACTCTGCACTATATTAGTATTATTATTATTATACAGAATTTAAAAAAATAAAATGTCAGCCTTTGCCCCCGGGGAATTTCTCGACCATCAAACACCCACCTCAAAGGTCCTTCGAACGTTAGCGTGGGTGGGTATGCGCATGTGGTGTGTGGTGTGCATATCTACAGTACCTAATTATTATTACTGTGACGATAATATTATGTTTTTCACTAATTTTTTGTTTCGTTTCGTTACAGGATTGGTTCACGAGGCAACAGTTGGTGTTGGTGATATTGATCGTCAACATATCGTTGGCGTTGATGTTTTTCAAACTTCTGACATCTTAGATGCGGCGCCGGTGGTAGACGGCTTGGACACTTTCGCAAAGCCATAAACGAAAATAGAAAACAAAATATACATTTATTATATTTTTTCAAACATATTATGTTGAGTTAATTCGGCGGTGACAAATCAATGTTATTGCGCGTCAACATTAATTATTATTTTTATAACGACCGTTTCGGGACGAGACGGTTCGGAACGGCACCGGACGTCTCTTCCAGAAAACGTATCCGATGCGTTTATTTATTCGTTTCAATCACTTTTTGGTAATGTTATAAACTATAAATTAAAATATAAATATATATATATATATATATATATATATATATATGTATTAAATATATGTTTATATATTTACCTAACACCACGTATGTTGTACGGTGTTGTTTCCCAATAAATCAATTTATTATTATTATTATTATTATTATTATTATATTAAAACACGTAGTGACACAATGTGAAGTCAAACAACTCGACAACGGTGTCTTATAATATTATATAAGACTCGAGTCGAAAGCGATTGGCTTTTATTTCGGTATAATATTATATTTTGTTAGTGAATATAGTGCATTTGTTTTTTTTTTTCGTTCTCTGTAGATGTTGTTGTTTTTTTTTCGTTCCCCGCATAATTATTATACGATGACCAAGTATATAGCCAATTATCATTATAATTATCGTTATTATTATTATTATTATTATTTGTATTATTATTTTATTAGTACGAGACACGAAACAGATTGGATAATATTGTATATAGCAATCTCCATCACATGTGATGCAAACACAATATTATTTTGTAATTATATAATTATATAATTAAAATAAATAATATTATATTGTAGCCAAATACAGATTACAAATCAAATCAAATAAAATCATACACACACACACACACACACACACACACTATTTTACTTTACTGGCTAAGCATCCGTAAGCTTTCATTGTTGTATGTCTTACATTATTGTATTGTACGTATTATCGCGTTATTTGTTTATTGTGTTTCGCGGATGAGAATAAGAAAAAAAAAATTAAAATTGAAGAATAAGACGAAGCAAAATAACTTCTCCGAGACGCTGATGCAGTGTTATATTGTTATATTATAATAATATTATATTTTCATGTTTTGTGTGTGCACGCAATAATAAAACGACACACCGACGAAAAACGAATGTTGTATTTATTTATTGATTTCACATTTTTATTTCATAGCATGCATTATTGTCATCATCGATTCCGATGAATCCAGGAAATAGTATTAAACACACACGAAGTAGTGGTGCGTTCATTTCAAGTTCTAATAATTTTGGTCGGTCGGAGGTTATATCGCAGGAGTACAATACGGTTTCCTGAGAAAGACTGCTGTAATACCTACTGTATAGTATTAAATAAATCCCATCGCTTGATGCGAATTGACAAGCCCGACAACTGTTTTTGAAAAAGAAAAAAAAATGTATTCAAACTCTATTGAACAATATAGTTTATAAGAAGTGCAAAACCTGAACAGAGCTTGGGAATTTTTCTCACATTATGGGATTTTATACAAAGATATCGTATAAAATAAGATATTATAATAAACCTCTCATTTTTCGCATTTCGTCGAAGTACAAAATATTAGCGTTGTGGTTACTACATATCGTCACCGGTAATATTATATTTGCAATTTTTTATTATTGTACGCTTTACCGTTTCCTTGGCGTACGGGGAGAGAAGGGCCGGACGGACGGAAAAAATTTACAAACGCCACTACGGTTGAATATTCCAGTTCGTAATAATAACAAATTTATCATACTTACCGTGTGCTTACCTACTATTTACGGCAGAGGTGGCCGCCCCGAAAACGGGCGGCGGTTGACGGCACAGCAAAGCGAGAATACCCGCACGTGTACGATATTGTTATTAATGTAGGTAATATTACATAATGTTTGTTTTTGCTTGAATTGTGCATGAAATATTATCTAAACGTGATAACTAATAATTAGTTATTACAATAATTATATACAATAATTATTATTGTACCGATATAGGCTATATACTTTCCGCGTTTACCGCCGATTGTCCTGCCGATTGTGAACAAATATTTTGGTAATTAAATTCCTTATTGTAACGATTTACATCTTTTTACGTCCTTTATAGGACCGAATAGCCGAATTTTGGCTTAACGATTAAAATAGCATATTAATATTATCGATATAATAAATATATTTTTATTTTTTTCAAGTACTACTAGCCATCTTAATATTGGAAAAATTTGTTCAATGCCTTAGTTTTTTTTTTCATTTTTTGAAAACCATACATCTAATCCTCTAATTATCCCTATCAGCAATTCATTTTTCCATCAATCTGGTCCGTCATCCAACGATTCAATACGTTTTTGTTTTGTTATGTCTTCACTCCTCAAATATGTTCTCTTAATATTATCTTCATTTCTACTGGATTAATTTCCACAACCATCATACATAAAATTCTATCCTAGCTCCGCAACGCGTGTCTAGTTTATTGAAATCTACGATTATCGATTGTGTTTAATTTATTTTATTATTGGAAGATATTCACTTGCTCTTTATCTTAATTACCATTTCTTCATATCTTCGTCCTTTAAAGGTCCAAAAATCTTCTTTGGGGATTTTTCTTTCGAAAACCAAAAATTTGATGAAAATCCATCTTCTCTAGGGATTACACCTGTGTCTCATAATACTGTTATTGTATTATGCATATTATAATATTTTTAATTTCAAATTTATCGATACCAAATATTTATTTTGTATTGAAAATGTTGATGCCTATCGAATTAGTAGTTATTTATTATTTTATTACTAACAGAATTTCGAGAAGCGTATTGCGCAACAATTATTATTGTTTAAGTAGAGCAATCTCCTGAATCTTTACTTATTCAATAAAGAAACAATAAAAAAAAAAAAAATTTCTTAGAAAATCTGTGTCAAACAAATATTGACTAATAAATAAGACAATAAATTGGTATAAACTATGCAGGATAACATAACATATTATATTTGTTTTTGTTTTATAATATTTGATTAAAGTTTGAACAACCTGTGTAATATAATACACTGCTACTATCACATAGCACATTTACTATACGATGGCAAAACATCACCGAAGTACGCTCGAGGTAATGATTTCCCAGCTAAAGTCGCCCTCGATCGAAGTTGACATTTACTGATTAGTTTTGTTTTTGGATTACCTATCTCCATGTTTATTCATTATAGATATGATTCAGTCCAGATAATCTCCTTGGGGCTCAAAATTTAAGTGTATATTACATTTCTTTTATTAATAAACAAAAACTAAGAAGACAGTTTAAAAGTTGAGTAATAAATTATAATAATGAAAAAAATGCTTTACCGTAAAAGGTATGTATAGTACGGATCGTGACAATATGGGACGTGGTTATACTGTCGAATGAAAACATTCTTTTTAAAAAGTTTTCCGATACGAATTTTTTGTAATCATTATATACAGAAACTAATATTAAAACATATAATACACTACAGAATATGTTATAAAACACTATAAGTAGATAGTATTAAAGATATATAATATAAATAACAGTTATTATTTTATTCACTACAAAATATCAAAATAAATACACACAAAAGTTATAATGTACTATATAAGTAGAATAATATTTTTAAAATAAATATCAATGGTGGGAGGGGGGTTATATTTTCAATGAATTTTTTTTCTTCAATTCATATTGATTGGTAGTGCAGGTATAATTAATTTTCAGAAAAACAAAAATTACATCATCGTTGATATAAATTATTTATTTATTGTTCTTCACGCGGATTATATGTATTTTTAGTTTAATACAACAATGAGTTATGACAGTAATCTTTTATTTCATATTTCGTCTGATCACTAACGGACGAATACAACCACAAATCACTAATCCTATTTCAAAATTTGAATGTGACCAACATTATTGACATTATATTAATTGTTTTCGTAATGCACTATGTTATTGTTGTTTTGTAACGTTTGTATTGTGCTGTGCATTAATTATTTCAATAATAATATTCAAATAATGAATTCAATTATTTATATTATTTTAGTAATATTTCTGTTTAACCAATCAATAAGTCAATATGTACTAAATATTAAAAGTCCCTAAATAGTATTAATTTTGTACTTAAATATTCATTTGAAATTGGATGGTCAATAAGAATTTACTTTTACTGCCCATACGCAATATGAATTCTGTTATAAAATGTTAATTTTGGATGACATTTTTATTGTTATTATCGTTTAAAAAAAATTAATGTTTTAGTCACATCCAAAAACAATCATAATTATATAGGTTAAACTTCTCTCTAAAATAACAAATATTATGTAAACAACTCATTAGTACATCGCTTTTATCTGTAATTATTACTATCATTAACTTAATATATTATAATATATCCCCTGTTACCATTATATAAAGCTGAGCAGGCGAATAAAAACAATATAGACAGGAAATGACGTTTGAAGGTGGATGGACTTTGGGCTGATTTCCTTCAGTCATGGCACGAAAAAGCCATTTTAGTAACTTTTACTATATATATTTTGACATTTTTTCAACACTTGAAGTGTGTCTGTACATCATATACACCGCAGGTAAGTACAAATTTAATATTATAAACTTGATATTTAAATTAGGGATTTTAACGAGACATATATAATTTTAATCCGATATAAATTAATATAATGCTGGAAAATTTGAATACGGACCACTTCCAGAGCAAATCCGACGTTCAATTTTCAGTTTATCATAACGCTTTAAATTAAGCTAATAATTAAGTTTAATATTGTATATTTCACGAGTACAGTAGGACGTGTAATAGCTTAATTAAATTTAATTAAAAATAAAAATTAAATTTTATTAATACATTTTATTTATTTTATTAATTATTTAATTAATAGCTTAATTAAATTAAGATAATAATATATACGTGATATTATTTTTAAATATTAATAATAATAGATACTAGAAAATAGTTTTAATAATCATATATAGATTCTTATGAATATGTGTATTTTAAGTTGTTGACTTTTTTTTACTTAAATATCAATTTAAATAAAGTTATAATGTAATATAATCATTATATTATTTTTCTTGTGGTGCATAAATTGTATTAAGAAATGTATACCTTATTATTTGACGTAACTATAATTACCTATAACCCATGTATATCTTCTGTATTTTAAAATGTAGTTATAAAGGTACACAAAAAATAAAATGTTTGTGTAGAAAAACGTAAGAAGTATTCATGTCTTAGTAAGTAATTATAGTTAATATGTTTAAAGTTGTTTTACCAAACAAAAAATTGTTATCACATTTAGAAAAAAAAAATATTAAAAGTATTTGAAAGTTATATGTACTTATTATGTTTAACAAATAATAATTCAAACACAGTCAAAATTTCAAATTTGTACGATTATTTTCAATTTTGTTAAAAACAATTCCCGTTTTCATATATCTATGTTGTTTTTTTTTTTTTTTAATTAATGAGAAAAGTACTGACATTTTCTTAACTTTTGACTCCCCAAAATACCAATGAAATCTATTTTCCGCTAAATA